TGTGGTGGGGGGAGACAGAGGGCCTTTACCCCGCCCTTTCCTACCGTTCTGGAATGTTCACATAAACAGTAGTAGGATGCTCGAAACAACCGACTTCAACACCGAGTGAGCAGCTAGCCTTCACGACCCCCTTCACTGGTAGGCTCCTGCGGCCCTGGCCACACGGCCTGTGCTGCAGATTCAAGGTTTGTGCGGGCACGCGGGGCGTGACCGACCCCACCCCGTTCGCGTTGGTGCGTCGCCCCGCAGAGCGCTACACTTTCTCAGTCTCTGGAGCGTGCCGTGCTGCCGTGGCCCGGCCGCGGACCCACCTCGGACGCTCGACTTTCGCCTCGGGCGCCGCCGCGCCGCGCTTCCGCACCCGAAGCGGGCCCCCGTCGGCCGCGCGGGGACCGCCGGTGACGTGACGCCGGTGATGGTGACGCCGCGTCACGCGCGCCGGCCGCACGATATCGTGACGCGCCGCCCCCGCCCGCCGCCCGTGGGTGTCGCAAATGCGGCCTCCGCGCTGTGTGACGTCAACGTCACGCCGCGGCTCCTTGTTCGGCGTGGGCGCGGCGGTCAGGTGTTTCAGAGCGTTTGAAAGTGCAAGTTTTAGCGATTACACTGCGGCATGCATGACGTGCTGGGCGTGAAAGCTGGGCTCCACGGAGCCATGGGAGCGGGAGCACTGATGTTATGCATCCGAACGCTAACATCGCAGCTCGCGATGATGGTTCCGAGCAGTGTTCTCCTGTGTGAAACTTGGCCAGAATGGCTTTGTGGAGATCTGCCGCGAACGCGGGCCGTGACGGCGTCTAGCGAAGCTTGTCCAGTCTTTGAGCAGTGAGGCGCATGCGCGCGTCAGCTCAGACGTACAATCCTTTCCTTGACAATTTTTCCTTGTACAATCCTTTTCATGACATCCATCAGCCTTGTGTTCGATGGCCGCATCGAGACACCCAGTCGAAACAAATCCAGCGGACTTTTTCTAAAATCCACCGGCGTGTATCGACCTCCATACGCTTTTCGTCTGCGATGCCGTGGTGACCAACCTCCAGCATATGATCTGCACTCCCAGAGAGAGCCCTGGATCTCGACTTTGCTTAGACTCTGAAAGAAGAAGGCAGCTGGATCCTGGATCCTGGAGAACACAATGACAAAACGTGCAGCTAGTTCGTGGATCAAGCAGGAACTTTAGAGGTAATTTCTTGATGATCATGCACATCAACGGATCTTCGGTTATAATCGTTACCGTTTAGCGATCCCATAGGCTGTCTCCTTGTCCTGGACTCGAGGCGTCGGCCTGCGGGCGTCGCGCCGCTGCCGTGATGGATTGTCGGGGAGAGCTGGTGACGTAAGTCCAGCCGGCTGCACGGTTGACCTGTCGTCTCCCCGCGGCCTGGGCCGCATCACGGGGAAGTGGTACGTGACGGTGATGGGCGCCAACGTGGGAGAGTCCGCCGCCGCCGGGCGGCTGTCGGAGGACTGTAGGACGACTACGAGGCGGCTGGGGAGGACTGTAGGACGACTACGAGACGGCTGGGGAGGACTGTAGGACGACTACGAGACGGCTGCCGGAGGACTGTGGGACGACTACGAGGCGGCTGGGGAGGACTGTAGGGCGACTACGAGACGGCTGCCGGAGGACTGTAGGACGACTACGAGGCGGCTGGGGAGGACTGCAGTGGTGCTGCGCGAGGACTGCGGGAGGACCGTGGCGGGACTGTGGAAAGGCTGTGCAAGGACTAAAGAAGGGCTGCGGGAGGACTGCGGGAGGATCGTGGCGGGACTGCGGGAAGGCTGTGCAAGGACTAAAGAAGGGCTGCGGGAGGACTGCGGGAGGACCGTGGCGAGACTGTGGGAAGGCTGTGCAAGGACTAAGGAAGGGCTGCGGTAGGACTGCGGGAGGCCCGTGGCGAGACTGTGGGAGGGCTGTGCAAGGACTAAGGAAGGGCTGCGGGAGGACTGCTGTGGGAAGTGAGCGCTGCATTATACAATATATGCAAATAGCTACTGCAAAGAGAGAGAGAGAGAGAGAGAGAGAGAGAGAGAGAGAGAGAGAGAGAGAAGAGAGAGAGAGAGAGAGAGAGAGAGGAGAGAGAGAGAGAGAGAGGAGAGAGAGAGAGAGAGAGAGAGAGAGAGAGAGAGAGAGAGAGAGAGAGAGAGAGAGAGAGAGAGAGAGAGAGAGAGAGAGAGAGAGAGAGAGAGAGAGAGAGAGAGAGAGAGAGAGGAAGAGAGAGAGAGACAGAGAGATAGAGACAGAGAGAGAGACAACCAAATTTCCATCAAACTGTGGTACGGCTGTCAGGAGACCGTGTGAAGCTTTTAGTACTGACAGCGACTGCTGGAGGTCGAACGGGAGCACAAAGATCACAGCACATTAGGAAAACTACACACTAGTGCGATGTGGCGGGTGTAAGCGTGGGCACCCCTGGCTGAAGGACCACAGTGCCGCTCCTTCGAGCATGGCCGTGGACTCGCCAGATGGTGCCGATGGGAGCGAACCGCGTGCCACCAGCTCCGAGGAACGCATCACTCTGTCTGGGAGAAAACCAGGCCGAAACACGCGGCATACATGCGGATGATTACCGCTAGCCGGGGGCGAACGACCGGCCGTTCCGACAGCGCCCGCCGCCACACAGCATTCTCCGATGGTTTTGATAACGCCGTGGGCCGGTTTCCTCGGACCGAGGCGTCATTTGTGGCAGGACGGAACAGGCAGAGCAGAGAAAAGCGAGGCCCGCTCTCGATTTCTGTGCCGTTTCCGTCCAGTCATCACGAGCATTGTCTGCTGTTGGGTCCGCTCGTCCTGGGCTGTTACCCGGCGGAACGGATTCGTGTCTCTGCTATGCAGCACCGTACACGTAATCACTGCGCTATTCGGGCGCTTAATTGAACTGACATATTTCGGAGACTGATTGTCCGTCTCCAGTGCCTGCCCTCGTGGACATCGGGAGCGGGTAGCATTCGGCTGCCGGTAAACACAATTTTCCTTCCGACATAATGGCTTGTTTTGAACTGACTGACGTCAGCACTGGCAGCCATGGACGATTTTATGTTTATGATAAACTATTCAGTTTATTTTTCCGACTATTTATGTAGCCAGCTTTTTTTGCTACGCACGTTGAAATGCATACTATCTGATAGCATTATCTGACACTGACCAGCGGACCCCAGCATGACGGGCTCGCCTGTGCCGTGGGTTCCGAAGGGTGATGACGGGCTCGCCTGCGCCGTGGGTTCCGAAGAGTGATGGAGGGCTCGCCTGTGCCGTGGGTTCCGAAGAGTGATGGCGGGCTCGCCTGTGTCGTGGGTTCCGAAGAGTGATGTCGGGCTCGCCTGTGCCGTGGGCTCCGAAGAGTGATGGAGGGCTCGCCTGTGCCATGGGTTCCGAAGAGTGATAACGGGCTCGCCTGTGCCGTGGGTTCCGAAGAGTGATGGCGGGCTCGCCTGTGCCGTGGGTTCCGAAGAATGATGGCGGGCTCGCCTGTGTCGTGGGTTCCGAAAAGTGATGGCGGGCTCGCCTGTGCCGTGGGTTCCGAGGAGTGATGGCGGGCTCACCTGTGCCGTGGGTTCCGAAGAGTGATGGCGGGCTCGCCTGTGCCGTGGGCTCCGAAGAGTGATGGCGGGCTCACCTGTGCCGTGGGTTCCGAAGAGTGATGACGGGCTCGCCTGTGCCGTGGGTTCCGAAGGGTGATGACGGGCTCGCCTGCGCCGTGGGTTCCGAAGAGTGATGACGGGCTCGCCTGTGCCGTGGGTTCCGAATAGTGATGACGGGCTCGCCTGTGCCGTGGGTTCCGAAGAGTGATGACGGGCTCGCCTGTGCCGTGGGTTCCGAATAGTGATACTTCCACCCCCCCCCCCCCCCACACGGGCACGGAGCTGAGCCATCCTGATGAAGAAGCATCTCGAGCGCTCAGTCGGGTGGCCCGCGAGCCGTCCCCCGGGTGCGTGTGTGCGCCTTCCGGTTGACTCGTTTTCAGACACGGCAGGTCACGCTAGGCAGGCGTTCTCCGTGTCACAGATAACCTGGTTCCGCACGACGGATAACAGCAAAGTTCCGTGACATTCCAGCAGTAATACGTCTGACCCATTACTTTGGAATTCGTGCCATTTTTTACATTCAATCTATGTCACACCAGTCTTATGTCAGGGATCAAGGACCCTTGAACCTCAATGGTTTAACGGTGTCAATGCATTCAAACGCTCCCAACCAAGCCGTGCGCACAAGGGCTTCTTGAGTATCAAAATGGTGTCGGGCAGATGGCAAACGTTGTGGTACCAGTTTGAATTTCTAAGAATTTATTAGCAGTGCTTGACGATTACTGAATGGCTGTTTGTATGAATGAGTTGTTAGGTTGACATAATGGCTGTTCGAATGAGATTCAGTTCTCCCATCTGGAAGAGAAATAGACCCTGACTGCACTCATACAACATCATTCATGCGGCCTAAGTGAGCTGACCTGAATAATTTTGTCCTAGTGTGGATCTGTAAACTAGGTTGTGTCACTTTTACAATCTCGTTTCGAAACTTAATGTGCACCACAATGAAGCACATACAACAAACGTTTCATCCACGCATCGTCCGCAAGCTTCTAAGTCATCGCAGAATGTTTTAACATGTGAAACGCTCAACAAAGAGCCCAGATCTCGCTACATGCCGTACTCGTCTGTGATAAGCAATCCTATCGTGTGCCGAGCTGCCATCGAATGACTCAGTTATATGGCTGCGATCGCATGCGGTCGTATGCGAGGGCCGTATTCTCGACACTTGACATCGTGCGGATGACTCGCCTGTACTACGTGAACCAAACATAAATGTTCTGAAACTCTTCCGATCTTTCGCAACTCCCAGAGCACGTGTCAAAGCCATCACCGCGCCTCTAGCCCGCTGCGATCGCCTGCACGTCGGGCCGCTCTGTTCCGGCCGCGGGCGTCACTTCCGGCCGCCACGCTCCGCTGCCCCCCGCCTCCCGGACAGGGCGGGGCCGCACTGACACCGCGCCCCTCTGTTCCAGGTGGTCGGCTGCACGGTGATCGGCTACATGGGCTGGGTGCTCTCCACCTCCGTGACCGTGGCTCGCTTCATGTCAGGAGAGCTGGTCAGTGGGCACGTGGGACCCTGGTCCGGGAGAAGCGGCCTCGTCCCTGGCTCCCTTTGCAGGTGTGCCACGGAATGTTGGTCGGCCTTTTTGGAAGAATACGCCAGTGTTCGGAAAACGTGTTGTAAAAGAGGTACCACGGCATGAGCTTTTGTTCAAAATCTTCTGTATTGTTTAGTAGAGCAAGTACTGCTTACGAAACCCATTTTCTACGTCTCAGTCTTTGATCTCGGAATAATCTGAAAAGGCATTTCCATGTCCTGCTCTCAAGGCTCCATGGAGTGTACGGAAGCAGCCGCTAGGCGGCACGTGCTACCGCACTCCAAACCATGGATGGACCACGCTCGGCGAAAATCATGACTTTGGCAAATCAACACAGAACTGTATGGGTTGAATGTACTGGTATAGGACGTCGCTTCAAGCCCCTCCAAAAGGACATATTTCACCTCCGCTGGCGATGTCACCGGCTATGCTGACTGAGCTGGTCAATGTCCTGTACTTGTGAAACTGCGTCAACTGTGTATTGCATTTACCTATATGCTGCATCAAATTAGGCAACAAAATTCAGATAACGTTCCCTATAAATCTGTTTATTGGGACTGCTCTCTCCAGCTCGATGTCGGAGGACTAATCTCACAGCCGCATTCATAATATCATGGTCCGATGCGGTATAAGGCTGAGCAGTTTGGCATGTGAGGTGCTTTAGAGCATGTCATTTGAAACAAGCGGCATGAGTCATGGCGCGCTGAAGCCAGACAGACATGACCTCACCACATAGAGGTTACCCATGGCCATGACGACATCCATGGTCATGACATATCAAAGGCAGGGACGCAGCCTATTACGGGGAACCACGAAGCGGTTCGCAATGCATTACGAAATGTAAGGCATTGCGACTGTGTGACTGTGCTTGAGCCAGCATCTTCACCCCACCCGACCCTCTACAGTAAAATGCATTTGCACTTTTACAGGCTAACAGTTAAGTATCCCAAGCACAAAATGATGGCAAATCTTGATTAGAGGACACCCTCAGACTAAAAAAGTCATCTCGTGGACGTTACGCTACCTCATTTTAAGTTAGTGATGCAACCGAACATTTCGGTGCAACACTGCATGGCGTAAATCGCTGATGTAAATCGCATGCCTTATGATGTGAATCAGTGCTATAACACGTTTTAGCCTCATAATAAAGTCGCAGATTTTTCGCCGCAAAGTATCCGCCTTAATCGAGTCACAATACCATGGTAATATCTAAACTTTGCCATTCTGCAGTTGAAACCTAGATCGGTAAATCTCCGTCAGTTGTTCAATGCCATGCTCTGCATCATGGTTGGCGGTGTCAAGGAAATTATCGCTGCATTGAACGTAACCTCTCACTGACGTCGATGACGTTACGGGCAATGGCGGATACAGGATTCCACCAAGGGAGTGAGGCAAAATTGTAGGCACTGGAAGCTGAAGCCCTCCCCAAAATCCTTTGATTTGGGCGATTACACTTTATTATTATTATGGATGTTATTTGTTTGCGGAAAAACATGTTCCTGAGCTGCACAGCCCTAGAAAGCTAAACGTAAAGTGCGTACGCAAATGTAGAAAGAAAGCGTATGTGCACGCATCGAGGGTTTTTATTTTCTTCAGATCATGTGAGTTGTGCCATTTGGGGGCTAAGTGTTTCGGAGAAGCTATGGCAAAATATTCTTAAGTTGGGTAGTAGATATCAAAATCATATCAAGGTGTTGAAATACTGTGAATGCAGTCCTAAAGATTTGAACATCATTAAGAGCATTCCACAAAAAAATATTCAGCTCAGCCCAAGAGGCCCCGTCGTCCGGCGGCACCTGAAAATCTGTCGAGTCATGTGATATGATCGAAATACTAAACCCACCATATCTTTATTTAGACTATCAGACATAGTACCAAACTTCCGGTATTTGATCCGGCGTGTTTTCAAACCCCTGGCACTATCGTGACAGTATTTGAAACGGCAGGCTTTATCGGTCTGTTATGAAACTAAAGGAGCAGGGATTGAAAAACGATGCTTATATTTTTCTGAACTTGTGGTAACAAGGAGCATATTTGGTGACCATCTCAAAAGTGTTCGCTTGACAGTCGCTTTAATTTTGGATTTCCCTGCAGTTGTATCATGCATGTGATTAGACTAGACGATACCCGGTACAAACCTGGCAGCGTTCGAAACTTTGTTGAAAGAATAAATGTGATCAAGCGAGAATGGGTTTGATGGCAAGTTACGTGTTGCCGAATGGTTATCCCCTCCCGAAAACAGCCGATAAAACATGTTGGTAAAAGCAGTGGCTCATTACTTGACAGCGTGCTCAACGTTCTGTTTCGAGCTGTTGAGAAAATCCCACGCAATGCGCTATCACTTGGTCTCGCAATGGGTTTAATCAAGGCATGGTTCTGGTAGACAGCTGCAATCTTTTCACTAGTGATGACCATGCAACCTGTTGAGGACGTAACTATTGCTACATGTTCGGTGTGGTCCAACCAGGGCTCTTGTCGACGACAGTGAACAATCAGAGCTATCCGAATCGCATCAGCTTTGAATAGGAATTTTACACAGGCAATGGAGATTTAATGCGTAGGCTTTCTCCGTGAACTGCAGTGCAACAACAGCCATGCAACCGTTTACCGGTGATCGCTTGCACGACAATGGCCTTTGGTCTTCTCAGCAATCGTCTGCTTGTACTGGGTCCAGTTGAGCGGGCTTTAGATGTGCAATTGATCAACCGGGTGAAGAAGCAAAGATCAGAAAAACATGCTTGCGGACACGAATTTTCCACGTTTTCCATAACTAGGTGTGTAGACAGCGAAAGAGAACAAGAGAAAAGAAAGGAGGCGATACATCTTTCCTACTTCTATCACTACATTATTAAGGATCAAGTCATTTGCCTACTCTCTAGTCTGTCGCATCGCATCTGTTGCTTGTCATAGATGGGGGGCGTCAGCATATTTCATACAACTGAGCTATACTATTTCCGTGATATATTTGTCACTGGCTGATTGCAGTGAAGCTGTGATGTTCCCCCTCCGCAATAAGAGGGTGTAAGTGGTTCTCTTTGTCATGAGTTGTCTTGAATTTGGACCTTAGTGGTTGTGTCTCTCGGACGTCGATGTTTCCGGTTTGGTACGCAAAAACCGGTGGTCTAAGTGGGTCGGCCTCTATCATCAGACGACCTGAAACACCTTCACATAACAAGGGTAGCAACAGATAGATGGCCTTTGTGGGCAACTGGTTGGCCTATTTTCCATGTTGACAATCGCCAACGTTGCCTCGGTCACGGCGTTGGAGGTGCGTTTCTACCGAGTCGACTGCCCGACTGAGCCCGTCTGTCGGTGTGTCCATCGCAGGTCTTCACGTACGTCATGGTGACGCTCGGCTTCCTCTACTTCTTCTCTGGCCTGGTCGGATGGGTGTCCTCGTTCTCGGAGAACTACTGCCTCCTCCGACTGGTAAAGGCCTGACCGTCAGGCACCGCGTAAGCGCGCGCTGCACCGCGTAGCCGTGCCCATGCTAAGGAAGTCATCTCACCTGCCTTCTGCCGGAGTGTAATGGAAACTGCAATTTTCTCTATGGGCCAACGAGGGTGCTTTCCAGCGGCAATAAATGTCTCACAGTGTCGATGTAAGTGGTTTGAGCTAAAAAGCGTCAGTGTTTGTTTTGGCTGGTGTTCCGTTCTTATGCCGGCGATGGCCTCCCAATATCCTACGCTGCCACGTCGAAGTCGCCGATACAGACCTCAACGTGCCAAGTCTCGCGTCATTTGTATGACAAATGCTTTTGTGTGTACTGGAGTGTCTTGAATGATACTGATAATTGAGGTCTTCCTTTCAGTTCATGGTCCTTGTGCTGCTGATGATTATTGGCGAGGTTGGTGGATTGATCACCCTGTACGCCATGCAGTTCGAGGTGAGGTTTTGCTAACAGTGAGCGCCAGAGGGTCTTAGGGTTTCTGACACAATAACTGTTTCTTGGTGCAAAAACTTCGGTCGTTGTTGTCCAGATGCATTGCTTTTGATTTAATCAAGGGACAGTCTTTACGAAAGCCGTCCTTGTAAGCTGCCTGCTCCGTTTCTTAAAGAACAACTTTGCGTTTGTCACCGGCAGAGGCACGCGACTGAGGCAGGTTGGACACAGCACTGGCAGATTTGTGCAATAGGCGGCAGGTGCCCTGGATTGTCTTACAACCACACAATGCGGGCCTAATATAAGATTCCCCGATTACCTTCCAAAGTAGCCTTGAATGTTTTATGCGCTCGGCAGTGGCGGCCATGCTTGTGACGGCTCAGGCGGGTCCGTTCCGTTCCTTACTTGGTCCGCCCTAGTGTGTGTGTGTGAACCCGCTTAAACGACCGCCTCGGCGCATGACTAGCACACCACGATCCATCGACCAAAATTAGCCCAATTATAGTCTATCAGCGGCTGAATGAAAACGGTGCGGGCGCTGTTATCGCGCGTGGGGAGCGTGGAGTCGCCAGCCGGGACGCCCGGGCCCGACCGTGAGAGTGGGCCCACCGCAGCCGCCGGCGGGCCTCGAAGGCGGTCAAATCGTGCTCAGCGGCGGAGGCTCATCAGTATCTGTGGTGTCCCCCCCCCCCTCCCCCACCCCGGCGACCTGCGACAGAGAGCTGCGGCTCGGGTGCGAAGCGGGGGGTGAGGGGATGGGGTGGGGGTGGGGAAGGGTCCCACGAGACCGCGTGAGGGTGCATCGGATGTGCCGGCGGCTGTTTTGGCACCGTTTCTACCATGACCTCCCGATTATGCTTTCAGCTTGCTGATATGCTGCAGATTAGCTGGAACGAGGTCAACCAGAATACGCGGAACTTTGTTCAGAATGCGGTAAGTAAACAATGGCGGGAGGCTCCGAATGAGGAGCTGGTTTTTGCTGCTTGATAGAGACAGAGAGGCTGCTGACGCTCCGCCCAGTGTGGGACTCAGCATTAAAAAGGTCTGCTACAAGCAGCCTGCTCTTGACGCCACGGCCACGGGCTTCCTGTGACGAGTGAAGATTCAATGAAGCTAGCTGAACATCGCTTCAGTGAGGCTGTCTAAAGCTCATGACGCGGGTCCTGTTACGGATTGTAACCCAAACACCACGCCTTCTCAGACCTATGCTCGCTTTCGAGGTAACCCATGGTAGCTAAGGAATGCGACCTGCCAAAGCTGAACTTTTAGATTGATACGGGATGCGAGACCACCCCCCCTCCCCCTTACATAAAACAGCATGCCACAAACGCCAGAATCGTACCACGTCTTCGTATGTGCCAACAGGTTTGGCAGGCGACGAGATAAACCGTAATTGGATACACACGCCCATGAGGAACACTTGACAAACGGTTAGGCGATTTCACACAAGTCCAAAATGTAATGAAGAGGCACGTGAAACTGGCCGTGACACGCGCGCTACACACCAGTTCCACCTATCAGCGTCGACCCCGCACCGCACGCGCAGTTTTGCCTGCGTCAGCCCGGAGCCGGGCGACGGGCCGACACCCGGCAGCCGGCGCGCGCCACCTGCCCCCGAGCCGCGCTCGGTCCGCACCTCAACCGCAGCCATGCGGTGGCGTCCAGGGAGCCGGCGCCGCGCCGCACGGCGCGCGGTGGCGCCACCGCCGGCCGTCACCGGCGCCGGGAGCGTAGCGCGAAAGCCGCAGCTGGCGCCTGTTCGGCGGTGCACGCGCGCAATTATTTGTCCCGTGCGCTACTGGAACAGATTGGCAACAAAGGAGGACAAACAGAGAGAGATGGGCCGTCGCGAGTCGCCGGCGAGAGTTTGATAAATTGGAAAGAAGGATGCGGGTTCGACGTTTGGCCGGATGCGTTATGGGTGTTCAAAAGGGTGCCATCTGCACTAGGATCCGTCATGGATCATCGTTATTTCATTCAAAGTCTAGATAGCGTGTCTTATAGCTTCTGGAAACAGTCGGATACGTTGGTCTTATGAAAGACAAGAATATATACCCTTAGAGGGTTTTTTTGTTTGTGCTACGCAAGCCGTGTGTATTTAACTGAGTTAAAATGACATCATTACAGCAATAATATGCGTTAGTCTATTTAGTAGTTAAGTAAGATTATTTTGCGCCTGGAAAACGTTTTTGAGTCATTTCGGGTTTTGGGCTTGAATACATCTTACCAATCTGCTAGAACGTATATGATTACAGTAAGAAAGCCATTTGAATTCAATTGAATGTTTTCAATCGCATGCTTGCATAACGTTTGGCCCATTGGCAGGCTTCATCAAATCCGTATACAAATATGGCCGCCTGTCTGTTCATAGGCCAGACCCCGGTATCGCATCGAGCCAATGCTAAGACATCACTTAAACCCACTTGTAAACATTCGACGCCATCGACACCATTCAACACTAAAAGAGCTTCTGCAAGAGAGACCAGAATATGGGCGAAGTCTGGTAGCATTTCTGAGCAGTCACGTCTCTCGAAATGCTTGTATGCACCCTTATATTCGAATTATTCTTTCTTTCTTTGTCTTCTTGTGAGGCGCAAAGGTCTCCGCTTTTTAGTAAATTTGACCTGCGTCCTATATTCCAATTTTTAAACTTAGTTAAGTACCTTCCATCCACAAATATCCTCTACCAGAAGATAACTCTGCTAACTGGCTACCACCATCGCTAATTTTAGACAGGCTACGCAGTGTCCATTCCTACTGGTCATTTTCAGATAGTCACCGCACCTACCTCACAGACGATAGAATCACCTCAACTACTTGAGAGAGGATAGATTCTCCCCACTTATTAAATTTTAGGATACCATCATTTCAACTAATTTAGAGTGTAGGATAACATTTCTCCATTGAAATCGCCTGACATTCTAAACAGTTGTTTAATCGTGATCACGGAAAATATCAAACTTTACAGCAAAAGTTCACGCCTTGGAGGATTTCGGTCTTCCGCCTCCTCTCAAAAAATTTCGAGCAGCTCCAGCTATGACTAGGTCCTTGCCATACCACATCAAATTCAAATAATTTTCCCCACTGAGGGGAGCCATGTCGCAGAATGTGGTGTCCATGTTGTCAGCATATAGCCACTCCATTTCAAGATTTAATAGACCGGATCTGATCTCCGAAGGAGCCACAGCGCATCTCTGCGTAAAGGCCGTAACACTATATTGATCACATCAGCAACAAGCAAATCGGACACAACATTCCTGTTAACATGTGTGCAGTGGCTTAAGAAATGAACGGCCATGAGTTGATAGCACATTGGCTGTGGATATTTTCTATTGTTTACACCAAAAATCAGCAAAGTTTGCTGCCTTAATTGACATCTGCCTCGCTTCTCCAGCTTTCGAAAGTTTCTTCTTCACAGCGCTTCTCGACGAAAATTTCCTTTCAGTCTTGAGCAGCGGTGGTACTCATCCGCGTGCCGCAGGTGCTTCCCATCGAGGCCAATTTCCCTGGATTTCATGGACCGGCCCGGACCGAACAGGTGGTCCACCGCCCGGCTGCCTACATTTGCATGGAAAACCTTATGTCGGCTTTGAAGCAATTAGGAAATGGGTGCGCCCTAGATTTCAAGGTACTTTGTCGAATGTTAATTACATTAATCTGTCCGAAGACCTGAATATGTTCATGTGGTACACGTCACACCGTGGTGTGTCAGTTCGACACGAGTTCATCCTGTGACAAATAAGTTCACGGCATGATAACGCGACGTGACATGACACAAACAGCTATACAGTCAACACCTGCGTGTACATTTTGGGGCAGGGATGAACCACCGGCCGGCGCATCACGCGGCTCGACACCGCGTCCGGCGAAGCTGGGGAGGGCGAGACGCTCCCTTGTCCACCGCCTGCCGCCAGCTGCCACTCGCTCCCTTCGCTTATATGTAGGTGTGTGTATATACATGTGTGTGTGTGTGTGTGTGTGTGTGTGTGTGTGTGTGTGTGTGTGTGTGTGTGTGTGTGTGTGTGTGTGTGTGTGTGTGTGTGTGTGTGTGTGTGTGTGTGTGTGTGCGTGTGTGTGTGTGCGTGCGTGTGTATATTGTGTAATACTCATCTTCCGCTACGTGTACCGCCTCATCCAAAAGTATGTCATTTTTTAAAAACGCCGTGAACCGTCAACATGCACCACATGACGTAACACACCACATGACACACCGTCATGAACATGCATCACATGACGTAACACACCACATGACACACCGTCATGAACGTGCACCACATGACGTAACACACCACATGAACACCGTCATGGACATGCACCACCCAACCCTGAACTAGACTCTCCGTTTCAGCTGGAGTGCTGCGGCTTCACGGGCCCCAAGGAGTTCGCCTATACCAACAGCTTGTTGGACAGCACGTGCTACCAGGAGCTGCCGTCAGAGGGCGTGTACACGAGCGAGACACAGGCCCAGACCGTGCAAGAACTGCGGCAGGTGGGGGACGCGGCGGTCGTGTATAGGTGGCAGCACTAGTGGCGCCGGCGTCCCAGGCCCGCCTGTGTCCGCAAAGGTCGCTATTTGGTGTGTGTTTTAGTTTTCAACGCGCTGATGGCCCTACACATGATAGCTGCAATGCCTGCAGAACAAGCGAGACGTATAGACATGTGATTCTGCAGTGGTTCATGTATGACACAGAATACGTGAAACGTTGCCCATGAGAAGCGGCATGTAATCGATGACATCTAACGGTCTTCGTGCTGCTTTCACATTTTAAGTTATGGGGCGTTGACGGAATGCATTTAACTCATTCAGCATATTATTACCTTTGCGTAGGCCCTGCATCCTTTTGCAGCTAACCGCACTGGAATATTCCTGCAGCGAGCCGGTGGCAGCATATGACCTCCAGGCGTCCTTTTTCCCGGTCCCGGCGGAGCACTCATGGAGCCACGTCCACACTGGCCGTGGTCACGTGTATTGCGGGAGTGGGTTTGCTGCTCATGTCGAGGCACGCTGTCTAGAAAAACGTGACGTCACTAGTGACGTCTCTGTCCTTGACACTACCCATCCGAGGTGACTGTCCCACTATCACAAAAACTAGCACAGGCTGCCTTCCCGATCGTTGACCTCACAGGTCACAAAAAGGCGTGTGACGTCACGGGTGCGTGTTTCCAGGACGGCTGCGGCATCCAGATGGAGCACTGGATTCGGGCCAACAAGGTGACCTGGGTTCCGGCGCTGGCCTGCCTAGCCGGTCTGCAAATCCTCACCCTCTGCACCACCATGTTCGTGATCAAGAGGAAGCGCAAGACGCAGCGAAGCTCCCGTTCCAGCTCCACCAGACAGCTCCACGACTACCTCGAGTAGCGTCGGCTGGGTGTGATCGGTGTAACAAGTCGGAAGGCTACCCGGGTCAGTCTGCTGTTTCAAGGCGACCGTCGGGTGCAAAAGCCACTCTCCTGCACAGCTGTTGACGGGCCGAAGCCTGCGTCTCTGATAGGCTGGCGCCTGGTCATACCCAGGCCATGGCAGACTTCACCGTCCAGCCCTGGCAGGCTGGAGGCTTCTCCGTGGCAGGCCATGGCAGGCTGAAGGCTGCTCCACGGCAGGCCATGGCAGGCTGAAGGCTGCTCCGCGGCAGGCCATGGCAGGCTGGAGACTGCTCCACGGCAGGCCATGGCAGGCTGAAGGCTGCCCCGCAGCAGGTTATGGCAGGCTGAAGGCTGCTCCGCAGCAGGCTATGGCAGGCTGAAGACTGCTCCTATCATTGCCTTGGAGGGAACATGTACCCGAGTCTGCTCTCTGGTTTCTGATGACGGCTCACGTGATTGTGCAAATATGCCCCTGAGGCGGTGTCGGATGAGGGGACGGTTGGGCCGTATGGGGTTTTCAGGGCGTGGGCACAGGACGGCTGCAGTATCCGTAATGCATGTCATTAGGGGTCATGTGCCTACAGCGATCATGTGCCGCGATCATGTTTTGCTGCGGTTACGTGACATGGCTGCAGAAAGTAGCGCACGGTCCGCTAAGGTCGAAGACGAATGACCAGCTAGGGTAATCATGCAAAATATGCATCATGAATGATAGCTCTTCTCTCATAGAAAGTATGCATTGCCGCAGGAAAAGTGGTGCACATGAATGGTCGCAAAAGACGTATCTGTCAACGTCGCTGTTGTCATAGTAACAATGATTGTCCATCGTGGTGGCCGCATGAAATTTGTTTTTTATGTGATCATCGAGTCCGCGCATGGAATTCCAAACTCGTAACTAAGAATCGATAGTTATCTTTGACACCGGGTGTGTATGTCTGCGTTGGCGCGAGCTCGTGAGGGGTTGTGGGGTAATTAAATTGTGCGGGGCTGTGTTTAGGAGATCGATGTCAGTAACCTTTGACAACCTAGCTGATGGTCATGGAAGTTTGTATTTATGTATAAATAAATCATCTCATTTTCATTTATTTCCTCCCATCGAAACCCAACGAATGATGCTTGCATTTATTGTGGCCACGTGGATAACATCTGAATGCATTTTGTTGTACAGCCTTGTGAAAACATGAATATAATCATTTCTGATCGACGGTTGTTCATGCGTTCACGAGTTGCACTGCCTGCCCTGGCCGTCGGTGTAAGATCGTTGGACGCCTGCTGTACGGCGGTATGGAACCGATAAAATAGCAAAAGACACCGCTCGGTCATGGCAAACTTAAGCATGCATATATATATATATATATATATATATATATATATATATATATATATATAACCGATGCTTGTTAATGCTAGAATCTGTACGCTTACCAAGTTTGCGTATGCACTGCTAGTCTGGTCAAAACATAGCGATTGGCTAATACGTTATGGCTAACACGACAACCTCACAAATGAAGTTGTGGCATCTTGGATTAGCACTCTTCTTCGTTGCACCGCGATAAATCTGATCACGGTGGCTGTGAGTCACTTGATGAAATGCTGCAGCATGCATGACATGGGTCATGCATGGCACGCGTGAACATTTGGGATGGCTTCGTCTTCTTCACTGGATCATGGCAAAGTCAGATGCAATGGAAAAATTCATCTGTATGTGCACATGTACCCACACTTTTCATATTTCCGTGTGTGAACATTTGGCCATGTCAGAGTCGACCTTGACTTGTACAGATCGTTTTGCCTTTTCCAATTTCAAGTCCTCGTCAACAGTCAAGCACAGTATTTACTGAGCGGACGAAATTGGAGCTCAAGAGGAGAATGCGACGTAATCTATGCTTGCTGGAGGGCGTCCTACTTCACTGCAGGCACGCTGGTCCCGAAGCTCGCAGCTCTAAGACGAGCCGGGCGTCCTCTTCTGGCCATCAAGGCGCTCTTAATTCACAGCTTGGCGTCCGGAATCCCCGGCCGTTATTGATGGCGGCAGTCACCCGCAGACCAATATCCGAGACGCATTCATCTCATGCAGTCGACAAGCCGACTTCATCCGACCGTACAAGGCGCCCCAGCTATTCCGAATGATGAACAGTCTGTCGTCTGTGTGGAACACGGTCAGCTGGCGAGCAAGCCTGAGTTTTCGGAGGAGAAACGACTTAGTTCAGTGCGGCACCAGAGATTCGACGTTTCCCTACCACTTGATGCCGCTCTTCTGCTCGGGCGTCCGTTGTCCGCGGCCGTAAAAACACAAGCTCTTTTTCACTTTTATTTGGGTTTTCTGTTTGGCGCTGACCCACGTGACCGGCTCGTCTAGAGCGACTCTGAGACATACGCGCTGGGGAGGGCGGGCAGGGCCGACCGCTCTCCCTAGGGGCAGCGGTGGCCCCCTGCCGGCCTGGCCACGCGCCACCATCACTCCACGACACTGACCCCAACAGGATCGACTCGGCACGAGGGAAGACGGAGCATGCTGCGGTTGGGGTGGGCCGGACGGCGCTCAAGGGACCGATGGACAATGACGGTAGCGAAGCGGTGGATTGTCGGGCCCAAATACGGTTGACTGTCAAACCGGATATAAATTATCAGACTGCGGACGAAAGCTGTGTTGGAAGCTGTATCCAGACGACCATCGTGGTCTATCAATGTCCTTTAAAATGGGTGTGTGCATTGCACCTGCACGTTGCATGATTTTTTATAGCGAGAACCAACAGCACCGGGCTCTGTTCAGCATGTAATGTGTTCAGGACTGTGGACAGCGGCAGCATTGCTGCGTTCATAACGCCAAGGGGCGTGCTGATCCGAAAGCTCATCAAACAACAGCTGATCACATCAGGCGGAAAGCGAACAGCCGCCAGCCGCCATACCAGCAGCGTGTAAACGTCACAGTCGCGTGAAACCGGGGACGCACGGCCGAGCCGGCGCGTCGCACACGCACGTCACGTGCGTGATAAGCCGGTGAGCGCGTCACAGTCAGCTGGGCGTCGGTCGGCCGGTGACCGCGGCCGCCGCGTCCGGGGCGCGGTCGGGCCGGGCAGGGGTATCGACGTCGCCGGCGGAGGATGTCGGCTGGCGGCCGGGAGCGCAGAGGCTGTATTGATCGGCGGGCGGCGGGCGGGCCGGCGGCGGGCACCAGCCTGCCGGCACGTCAGCCCGCCCGCCCGCCGGCCGGCCGGGCCCGGGCCGCGGCGCGGCGAGCGGCCACGCCTCTCCGGGAGGACGCTGCTCACCCACCGGCCACAGTCACGGCACGCCAACTGGGGCACCACAGGGAGGGGAGGAGAGGATGCTGCGATTCTGCAGTTCGTAATTCGAAATTCGATTGATCCGCATTAAAAAGATTAGGTCCAGCAAAATGAACACCAAAGCTCCATTGCTGTTATTTGAACTTTGTCCCATGTAACGCACTGCAAATAACCCACGACAAAGGCAGCAAAGAGCCGAACGATGCCCGCAGAAAAAATGGCACGTAGTTGTGATACCTCGCCCATCTTTCCATGTAAACTATATTATCAGATTTTCGGGTCTGGAATCGCCCGAGGAGTGCTTCAGCGCTTGGCCAGGCCCTGGTATTGATTCCAGCCGCCCACGGTTCGCTCATCCTCCCGCACTAGCTCACCTTAGATATACAAAGTACACAACAGGACACCAAGCATTCTACACTGGACATCACAACATGGCACACCATCACATTCAACAGAGGGAAGACTTGCTTGCACTAGCTCGCAACGCTGGAAGCCGTAGTCCGGCGGCACTGCCACCAGCGCGTCGCGTCCGCGCTTAACACCTGCCGCCAGCGTGAATGTCGCTGGCCGACATGGAAGACTCGGTTTCCCAGTCTGGAAGACTCAGTGTGGAAGACTCGATTACTCAACGTGGAAGACTCCGTTGCCCACCGTAGATGACTCGGTTTCTTGTCGCGGAGTATAACTTCACGTGCAGTCGTGAAGAACTCACCTGCGCCGGGTGGCGCGACCGCTCAGAAAGGCAGCCCAATACGATAGGCCTCGACCAGGGCGCGTCCCGACGTGTAGATGCCGCACAGTCCAAACAGGCAGCCGAGGAAGATCACGAACATGTCGTAGCCCCGGGTGAACCAGGAGAGGACGTCCCACTTGAGCTTCAGATGGAAGTAGCAGGGCCAGATAAAGCTGAGCATGACTCCAGTAATGCTGCCGATGAACCCCATCAGGATGGCGAAGTGTGGGATGATGGCGGCCATGATGATGGTGAAGACCACCACCAGTACGCGGAAGGCTAAGCCAAAGGTGCGCAGCTCACCATCCAGGGCCCAGATCGACGGCATCACAGTGTAGGGCCGACCCTTGAAGTAGGTTCTCTCCAACAGCTCGCAGGCGGCGTAGTACGGCAGCGGGTATGACAGCAGCGCCTTGACCACCAGGAAGAAGTTAATGAGCTGCTTGAAGCTCTGTGACGGCAGGTTGTTGGTGATGACCTCTTGAGTGGCGCCCTGCCAGGTCAGAAAGCCAATGTAGCCGAACAAGGACTTGAACGCGGCGGCGGCGATGTGTGACCAGTTGAGCATGCACTCGAACCTGCCAGGGTCGCGCATGTTGCCCTCCAGCGACGGCAGGAATATCTGCGACGTGTACGAGAACACGATGATGCCCAGTCCGATCGGGAAGTGCAGGAAGTCGATGCGAAACTTCACCTGGGACCAGCCCCACTCGCCGGCCCAGGAGAGGCAGTAGCCGAAGATGAAGATATTGATGACCAGGTGCGCCATCGTGCACCAGAAGCTGAGTGTGCTGACGTGGTGTAGGTTCTTCAGGAAGCCGCATGGGATGAGCAGCATTCCGCACAGCATCATCCACGAGCGCGTGTCGATCTGACCTTGCGGGAACATGCCGATCAGGAGGTCACCGCACAGCACCACGTACAGAATGCAGGTCATGAGCAGCTCGATCAGCTGCGCCACGTTGACGATGCGTGCGCCCCAGCGCGGTCCGAAGCACATCTTGGCGATGCTGACGTAGCTGTCCCGCACGCGCACCAGCTGACCGTCGGGCGTCTCCTGCGGCGGCGCACAGCCCAGAACACAGGTCACGTCTGAGTGTGATTCAGAACACGAGGGTCAGGTCTGGGTACGTCATTCAGAACACATGGGCCACGCCTGAGTGTGACCGAGAACATAATGACTTCCTCTGAGTATGTGATCCCCAACGTCCCAACGCATGGGTAACGTCTGAGCGTGTGATCCAGAGCATAATGGTTACCTCTGAGTATGTGATCCCCAACGCATGGGTCACGTCTGAGTGTGTGACCTGGAACATACGGGTTGTGTATGAATGTGTGTGATCCAAACCGTTTGGGTCACGTCTGAGTGTGTTATCCGGAACACATGGGTCACGTCTGAATGTGTGACCTAGAACACATTGTTCACGTCCGATTGTGTGATGATCCAGAACGCATGGGTGCTGTCTGGGCACGTGATGTGGATCACATGGGTCACGTCTGAGTAAAAAATGCAGAAGCATGGCTTACGTCAGACTGTGCAATTCATAACGCATGGGTCACGGCTCAGTGTGTGATGCAGAACGCATTATTTGCACTGAGTGTTCGATACAGAGCGCATGGATAGTAACTTGCGTTACTTTCGAGGAGTAACTGGGTGAGGAAAGTAGCTAACGGGAACGGGCGGGGATGGGGGTGGGAAGGCTCAACGGCCAATCCTTCTGAGTCAAGACGTTTGCATTACACACCGATCAACTACTAAATTTTACAGAAATTCGATCTTAATTGGCTGGAGTTTGGAGAAAATTGAAACCTGTACCTCTCCCTTCCTTGAGAAAATTCTGGACAAATGCCTGTCTGAGAGTGTGATGCAGAACGCAGGGCCACCTGTTAACGGCACCGCGAAGGGGCAGGTCACGCTTGGGTATGTAACGCAGGTGTGGTGTCAAGCGAGGGTCCGGCACAAAACCGTGGTTTACACATGGGTCGTTTGCGGGCTCAACGAAGAACGCATTGATCACGTGTGAGTATCACACAAAACGTACCAGTGACGTGCGGGTTTGATGCATGACGTATGGTGCATAGGTGGGCACGGTTCGTTACTCTGCTGTTTGATTACGAGATAGAATTACCTTTCTAGTTGCAGAGCAACGGACTCATGACTTTAAGTGTAAAGGACCGAGTA